AGATTATGGCTCCAGAATCTTGGGATTCGTATCGTACATAGTCTGCTCACAGTAATTCTCATACTGTTCATCCACAAGCCCACCTCCAGCTTCCAGACTCCCTGTACATCTCAGCCTCCGTGCTGTTTGAATCGGTCGACCCACACGATCTCATAGCTCTCCTCGACATGAGCATCAAGGAGCTTGCTACGCAGACGCAGCTCCAGCAAGAGGACAGTAGCACGATACTTTTTCTGCAAAGAGGGACGTGCTTAATGGAGGAGAGGATGTACCGAGCACAAATGGAGGTTTCATTATTCAGTAAAGCCATGGCAAACTTGTGCGAAAAACTGAACACGACAACTAATTCAACAAATTCACGTGAGTTATTCTATTGAAAGGGCTGTATCCAAAAAATTCAATTTCATTCCTAGCCGCATCGTGCCTCGCTTCAAAGACGCTGCCTATGGACGCTGCCGGGTATGAAGGAGTAGACGAAGAGTTCACCTCGGTCAAATTCGACTGTTCTAAACGCATACAGACCACCCGATCCAAATGCATGACGTGGCTTTCCGCATGCCGCAAAGCATCGCTTCTGACGTCGTCACATTTCAACGACACTACGAAAGTTGGCAATAAAACTAGCCAAACACTTGTTGACCCCTTGCAACATTCAAACGTTTCTCACTTCCAGGAAAAGCTCATTAAGGCGAGTATTACTAATATTATGAGTGGCCTGGTGTTCTGACGTCGTGCAGCCTGGCGAATCAATTCTTTACCTACCCAGTTACTTGAAAGCCCGCGTTGATGACGAGGCATGTCGTGCATACGCGAATGCATGCTTTGCGGAAATCAACATGCCCCTAGGCATCGGCACCGACAAAAGCGACATCAACAGCTTCAAAGCAGCGAGTAAATCACTAGACGAACTCAAGCATGACTTCCGTATTATGTACTTGAAGAAGCAACGCGCACAGTCCGAAGTGGACATGTTATCTGAAGCCATAGCACGCAGTGTTGGTGAGTATGAAAGCTCTGTTTCGATGTTTTCTATACTAACATTACCGTCAACCCGTCAGGAGGCGCATCTTCTGCAAGTGCCACGACAATCGAATCACCTCTACCTGACGACGATTGGTTTGACGATTGGAATTCAACCTCATCCCTATCTTCCGATTCTGCGCATCTGTGAGACGTGTTACTGTTGTTTGTACGGTATTCATCTTTTCCAAAGTTCACCGCTTTCACTTATGTTTAAGTATCTTCTGTTGTACGTTGGCCTTGGTTGAGTTTATGTTATTCCTGCTGCCTTTTCCATCACTTGTTTTTTTACCAATTACCATCTCCCCAGCCCAATGACGGCGCTTTTGACAGGCAGACGCATGTTCCACCTATGACATGTATATTGGAGTTATGTCTACTCGCCTGGTGCAAGGTACCGCTCATCGTCTCCAACTCAAGTGTACTCCTATCACCCTTTGACTACAATACTTAACCCTCCCCCCCCTCCACCCTACTATCTTTGCTTACACAATAGTAGCTTTTACACGTTTCCTTGAACCCTGCTTCTAGTGTACAGATAACATGCACCAATTATCATAATGTTGGAATTCACACCGTGTGCCTCGTATGAATCAGAATAGCATCCTCGTCGTCATAAGTTAATGGATGTTCTTTTTGGACTCGCGGAGGGATGGCTCTGATTCTATGTTAGTTATTAGGTACCTTGCGCAGTTCTGAAATTTTATTATGAGCAGGTCCGTTCTAGATTTTTTGCGTGTTTAAATTGATCAGCATCTAATCAAGGTGCAGGTCCTCCGCGGGAGTGCCGGGGGTCCTGGTGCAGTGGCTGGAGTCCTGGCTCGTAGTTAGTCACTACTGCATGTTGTAGTCGGTCCTCGATAGATAGAGCCGTCGCCTCCCGCTATAGAGGTTGGCCTTGGGTTTCCTTTGCAGTTCGTGCCGGTCCATCATCATACACACATCTATGCTCGCACATCCTATCCAACGCTCTCACATCTAATCATCTCCCCAAATACGACTCAAAGGCCAACCAGGCATTTGCAACCCGCCTCGCCAGCGTCCTCCAACCAGGAGACCTCGTATGGGTCCGTGACTACCATCTCTTGTTAGTCCCTCGCATGCTCAGGAATGCGATGCATTCTGGTGCTGTGAGTGCTTTTTTAACGATGACGGCAAGAGTACTGATACACTACGCGTAGGGTCATCGGTCTTTTCGTGCACACGCCTTTCCCGAGTTCTGAGGTGTTTAGGTGTTTACCGCGTACGTCCTCCCCCATTCCCCACACGTCTACATTCCTTCCTCGATCACCCTAATCAGCACACTAACCTAACGCACCTCCCTAGGCCGCAAAGACATCCTTGACGGAATGCTAGGCGCCAACCTCATCTGTTTCCAAACCTACAGCTACACCCGCCACGGACGGAATGAACACGACCTCCATGGAGTTCGTGATCGCGCAAGAGCGCACGAAGAGCTCTTCCTTCGTTTTGAGCGAGTTTATGGGTATCAGTCAGCATATGGCTGATGCGCTGCAAGTGAATCCTTGGGATCTTGGAGTGCGTAGTGTCTGTTCATTTCGAAAATCTTCGGATGATTGACAGATGTGTTGTGAGCGGGATGTAGCGGCTGCCATGAACCGCGGGTTGGTGATTTCGGAGGAGGAGAAAGCGTCAAGGCACGCGGCGTTGCACAAGGTCGTAACGACTCACACCTCGCACACGTGGGCTGCGGTCCATGTACGTGTTGAGATACTGTCGTGGAATATGTGATAAGAACGTTGATGTGCTTGTGCCTTAGCGTTTCTATAGACCAATAGTTATTGTTTTCATTTCGTCGATGCTGGGAGTTTGGCGCACAGGATGTACAAGGGGCTTCGCGGCTTATATTCAGATGTAAATACTTTCGAGTCGTGTGTGCTGCTTGTCACGATTTATGTGTAGCTAGGAGTTCTAATCAATTATACATTATACTTACAAGTGATTCCCTTTCAGTCGGCACTATGCAGTATGCGGCGAGCGCAAGCTAGTATCTATAGGACGCCTAAGTCTACTGTAAATGCTCGGCCATGTTGGCAGTGGCCAGACAAGCAGGCTGTCACGATTGTAGTTCTTGCACCTTCTATGCAATTCAGCTAAGCTATATCTCACTTTTAAAAAAATGTCACAGTGGATTATAATTCTACTAGATTTCTCCGGTCATTTTACCTATGTGTTACACCATAGTAAATTTATCTAAGGTTAAAAAATGACGTGCAAGCAGGCTGTCACAATTGTAGTTCTTGCACCTTCTATACAATTCAGATAAGATATATCTCACTGTTTAAAAAATGTCACAGTGGATTATAATTCTACTAGACATGTGATGACCTGCAGCCATGCAGTTATCTCACTGTTGTTTGCTTACAAGATGCACGCCAAGATGGTATTTCTCTGGCATAGTCTTATCTCATTTTACCTATGTGTTACACCATAATAAATTTATCTAAGGTTAAAAAATGACGTGTCATAATGAGTTTTGGTTACCAATCCTGTCTGGTCATATCAATTTCGGGTTGATTTCCTGATGAAGACCATTGGACGTCATTGCAATCAGAACCAGCATTCGAAACCGTTAGGAGCAGGTTGTGCTCTGTCCTGGCCTACATTGTCACCGCAGTAAGTTATCCAACTCTATGCGAGCTGAATCCGGCGCTAACATACTCCCCAAAAGGCTGTCGCCCTCCTTGCTATGAGTGGCGTTTTCATCACTACGGGCTCTCCTGTGCCATCCTTTGACTATACATCACCCGTTCCCTATTTTCTGCTATTTATATCCCTCATGCTCGCCATGATTGCGATGTTGACATCTGGCCTAAGCATGATACGCTGGCTCCACACTGACCGGCAGTGGACTCAAGAGGTAAGGATTTTTCGCCATACCGCTCCGCTACACATGCTGACCAGAGTATTACCAGCAACTCAAGCCAGGCGGCTATTTTGTCATATCCTACCTGCTATCGATAGTTACCCCCATATTCTTCGTCGCCTGCTCCCTGAATTGTTTTATCTTTGGTGAGTTGTTCCGTAACTTGATGCTCTCCCTAGGCCCTCATATATTTCAAACCCCCTTCCCCCCAGCGATGTTGATAGCAGGGTTTTGCTCCCAAAGCATCATCTTCCGTACCGTCACTGCGCTCTGGCTGGTCACGTACATCACTAACATTGGGACAATATTGATGGAATTCATGTGGAAGTATACGACTATCATCAAATCACGCTAGATATCGCTAGTAGTTTCCACATGCTCCTTCTTTTAACCGCTCTGGAAGCTGTCATATTCCCTCGAGCGAGCGAGACATCTAAATCAGCGTATGTACATAACGGCTGCGAAAAGGATTATGATTTTGAACTTAGTTTGGTCTTTGCTTGTGTTATGTTAAATGACTGTAGTGTCCACCATAGGGCTTCGCCCCACAGGACAATAAAGAAGGACGAAAATTTGTTAAATGACGGACCAGAATTTTTTTTTTTCTTCTTGGAAAAGCGGGTCTATTATACAGCAACTGACAGTCTAGGGTTTCTCAGTCAGGAACGAGGGAAAGCGTTTTTCGGTCAAGAACGTGGGAAAGCGTTTCTCAGTCAGGAACTCCGTGTGTCGTATCGAGGAAATTTGACAAGGTCGAGAGATCGCCACAGGGACCGGGAACTAATGACCCCTACCATTGAATTGGCGCCGTCTGATATCACGGGAAACTCAAACACAAGTCTGTGACTTTTAGATATCAAAGTTTGAAAAGCATTTGCAAGCCTGTTCCTGCTCACACTCCGGGTGGTAAGGAGACCGGTGGCAAGATGTAAGGAAAGACGAAGGCAGAAGCACCACCATCAAGCCTTCGAGCGCATCTCACTGTTTCTCACCGAGTATCACGATGGGCCAGTGTTTCAGCGATACTGCTAGCCTCACCAATTTCGTCAACAAGCCAGATTAAACATACTCTTCAGGTGTCGAAGGCAAGCAGCTCACTGCTAAGGATACCAACCGCGGCCCCGACCCAACGGCTGCCAAACACTTCAAAGGCAAGAAAAAACAGATCACTGTCGTTGCTGTTGGGGGCGCTATCAATACGATTCTTCTTCGTGCGTATTCGTCCAACGGTCTCCCATGACGTCGACCCAACTGACAATCTCGTCCAGATTCCCGTGCCTCTACGACGGATGTGGATTTCTTCAGCGTTGACAGCGTAGACAATCCCGTCTTGCGAGATGCGATTGGAAGCGCCGCCAAGACCATGCAGCTTGGTGATGGCTGGATGAACAACCACACTGCGCTTTTCATCCCTCTCAACACTATCGCCAACATCTATAACGAAGCGATTCGAGATGGCGTAGTCGTTTTCGATAAGCCTGGGCTTAAGGTGGTCGTGATATGTCCGATGCATCGCAATACCTCATCCAGGAATCCAAGAGGAGGCGCGCGAAAATAAAGGTCGCAGACATTGAAGCGAAGGCGAAAGCGTACGGGATCAAAATCCAGGAGGCGCAGATGAAGGAGTTAAAAGCGTTGTGTAAAGATTATATGGAGGGGTGAGTGAATTCAGTGACGAGCGCGCAGTTTCCTGTGGGATAAGTATATGATGGTCTTGCAAGGTTATGTGCATGGTGCATTGCGTTTGACCTAAACTTGTAAATTTGTAAGTGGGAGGAAAGCGTCTACGAGTCACTGCAGCATGAGGACATGTCTAGTCAGCGGAATGCACTAGTTGGTTTGCGTAACACGTCAATACTTCTTATATATCAACGACTACGGGAGGCCGTACATCACGGTCTCGTGGACCTCCTACCACAGAAGCATTGACGGCAACCGTACCTATACTGTTATCCCCGGCCAACCAAAAGCATCGCCCAAAGCAAACGCACGGTGTAAAGCCAACCCCCTTTCTTGCGCACAATATCCTCCCAAATTGACTGCGCAGAGTTCCAGGGAATATTCTCAATTCCACGACCTCCATGAATGTGTCCAAACACGTGAAGCAATGGTGGGTGTGTCCTACAGATTTCCCACGTACGTGCAAGTAGGGCTTTGCAACCAAGTCCAGAGAGGTCGAGATGACCGTACGGAGGACCGTGAGTAATGAGAATATCGGTGTCGTCGGGAATGATAGACCAACGGCCCGGGCTGTCAGTGGTACCCGTACGCGGGTATTGGAAGGCGCCATTGTCATGCTGCGGAGTGCATGGGCTGCCAAAGATTTTGAACGCGCGATCGCGCACTTGAATAGTGTGAGCCTCATCCTCCAGATAAATGATGCCATGCTCTCGCCATGAGTGGGCCCATAAACGGCCCTCGTCTGATTGAAGGTACGTATCGTGGTTACCGGCTATGACGATTTTGTGCTCATGTGGAAGGGAGACTAGCCAGTCGAAAGCGTCCTGGAGCTCACGAGGAGTGCCGGAATGGGTAAGGTCACCTGAGTGAATGAGTATATCACCGGGTGGAACCAGGGAAGATATATCGGTGTTGTGGGTGTCTGAGATGCATATGGTGCGGACGGGAGAAAACGAACGATGTGGCGGTTGTCTACCGAGACGGTTATATAGCTTGGAAGCCAGGTAAAAGCTAGGATTCGACTTGAACAGCTCCCATGGACTCGGAGCCTTGCGATTGATGATCGCATCCAGGCCAGACATGCTCACTCGAAAAAGATTGATGCATGCGTGAGCAATGGATCAATCGATCATATATGATCATACTCGAGCTTAAGGCGCTAAAGATCAAACACTAGGGCTTACTAAGCGACGTAAAGTACCGCTGGCTTTCAAATTTCAAACTAGCTTCGTAAATAGTAAGGCACATAGGCAAGTGCATGCAACTCCCTGCAAGCTGCTTCAAGCCGATGCTGACATACTACAAGGCTCTCTTGTAACCTATTTTGACTATTCGTGAGTCGCCTGCTCCCTATTTTCTGCCCTTGATATCGCTCATGTTGGCCATGATCGCAATGTTGACATCTGGACTGAGCATGATTCGTTGGCTGTACAGCATCGAATAACCAAAGATCGTGCGAACAAACCACCGGAAACAGCGATGTTCAGGGGCCGGAAATCGTAGTCACCTATTTCTCTGCCGGGAGTTGAAAGATGAGTTTTTTTCGGCGATGACACCACAAAACCCACTACTGCCATAGCGGGAATTACATAATATACATAGGTACATTGTGGTGCCTGCCCGTGGCCCCAGACGGTTACACTTCTTAGCTTTACACAGACGTGTTATGTTCTCCGTCGTTTGAGGCTGGTGCGTGCCTCCACGCAAATACCCATTCCACAGATACCGCCCCAATGCCAATGATGTATGCGACCATCCAGAGTGCAGTGACGATGAGGCAGGTTATGCTTTGGGAGGAAAAGCCTGCTATCAATATCGCTGAGGGTGAAATGCATGAGGGCCCAAAGAGAGCATCAAGATACGGAACAACTCACCAAGGAAGAACAAACTCATGGACAAGGCAAGGAAGAACATGGGGGTGACGATTGATAACAGGTGGGAGATGAGGAAGTAGCCGCCTCGCCTGACTTGCTGATAATAACGAGTCAGTCGGAGTAAGCAATAGTGGGAGAACAAACATTACTTCTTTAGTCCGTTCTCGATCGGCGTGGAGCCAGCGCATCATGCTCAGGCCGGATATCACCATTGCGATCATGGCGAACATGCGAGATGTCAAGGACAGAAAGTAGGGAGCAGGCGATGTGTAGTCAATATCGGTCACCGGAGAGCTTGTGGTAACGAATACGCCATTGATAGCGAGGACGACGCCCCCCTTTGAGGTATGTTAGCACTGGCTTCAGCTGGCAGGGGGTCGGATAACTTACGCCGGTGATAGCGTTGGCTAGGATAGAGCAATTTCTAGTCTTAACGGCTTCGAACTCTTGATCTGATTGCAGTGACCCCCAATACTTTTTAAGATTGGGGTATCCACTGAAAAAAAAACATATTCCCCTCGTTGGCAGGGATATGTCACGAAGGGCTACGGGGAGGGGTATGTTATGAAGGGCTTCGGGGAGGGGTTCAGTCATTGTGGTGTCAAAGAAAAAAGTAAAGATGGACCAACTTTCGACTTGTAATTCTTATAAACACACGGGACAGCGTATTGATTCAACCCCACACCTAAATTTCCCGAACGGACTGTTCTCCTGCGTTTCATTGCCTAATCCGTTCAATCGATGTTGTGAGTGTAGAAAGGCAGTGTGTTCCACGCCCTGTTACGTGATTCTCTAGTGACAAATACAACGATACGCAGTAAGTGGTGCCAGGAGTCCACATGTTCCACATGCCAACTTCACTTCCTGGGAGAAATTCACCGTCGGCCGTGGGAGATTTGCGGTGTGGTTCACGGTTTGAGGTGGCGGGACCCCTGGCACCTGGCGGAGGGGGAAGGGGGGGGAAACGAGGGCGGATGCTGCGCGTTTCGTCGTTTGCGGGGCCAGGGAGTGAGCGGGAGGGAAAGGTGCCTCTATTATAACAAAGTAGGTGGTTGGTTTTCTAGGTAGGTACGAATTAGCTAGGGAGTTTAGTGGGGGGATTTAGTGTACTATGGTTCAAATTAACAATAATGCTGTCCTGGGCGTGCGGAAGGAGCGAGTACAAACGGAAGAGGGAAAAGGGAAGGAAAAGGCCAAAGGTAGGTGGTGGAAAAGAGGCAGATGGCTCGGACAGGTCAGTCCAACAACGTGCACCAGTGGAACTTCAAGTCCGAGTTTTTCAAACGATGGGAAAAACACGCTGTCCGTCGTCGTCGTTTGCCGTCGTTTGCCGTCGTCGTCATACCAACTCACTAGCGAGGGCTGCGCGTCTCCTCCCAGCGCTGGGCGAGAGCGCTGTCTGCAGAAAGTAAGTCCCTCCACTTGCGAGCAACGTCGACATCCTTGCTCATCAGCCTTGCCACACCAGACTTCAGGTATGTGAAGGCCCCTTTGGCATCCGAGTGGTCGAGGCTGCCGCCAAAGAATGTGCGAGCCGCTGTGGCGTCCTGTGCATCTCGTTGCACACGCTGACGTTGCAGAGTGTCGCAGATCTGGGTGTATCCAGCACGCTGTCCACTGGCATCACTCCAGGCTGCCCAGAATGCGTCGTCTGACGCGAAACGTGACCGCTCCTCGACAATGAACTGTGGTTCAAATGGAAGGCATCAGCGGTCCGAAGGTCTTGTGCGTGAGTACTAACTATAACTCACCTTCCATTGCCCCCATTGAACTTTTCGCAGCGCCCACGCCTTGCTGTTCTCTCCCGCGCATTTCTTGTACACCTCCCCCCAGTACTTGATGGGGATTCCGCGCCCATTCACGACCAGGTACGTTGAGCAGTGCCACTCTCTGAACAGAGCACTGACGTCAGTCGAGAACCGCACTGCCGGTGGGCGCATGACAGCGGTCTTGTCAAATGCCAGCTCTCCATCTTCGAGCTGGACGACGGCAAGATTTCTTGGTGGGATGGTTTGTGCAGGTACGTGGACTGGGTTGGTGACGGCCTGCATCGACAATGCAGACACCGCTGGGTGAGTCACAGTCGGTACAATGCCGGACAGCCTTGGTGCTGCAGGCTGGTCTGCGGGCTGAAGAGGCCAAAGTGGGTGCTGAGGCAGCATCAGTAAATTCACCAATTACTTATTTCGCCTTATTTCACTTAATGGCCCTTATTTCTTGCGAACGAAAATTTGGAACTACTGTAGAGATACGACACTAGCTTCGTCACGTGCAGCACGTGACAAAGTCACGCTTAGTGTCACAGCTTCGAATTACCCTGTCACCTGTGACCACATAAAAAATAGCTTCGGAAATTGTGATTTTGTCAAGGCTTCTTGTCTGATTCATATCTTATTATAAAGTTGAGAAGTAACAGGTAGAATCTAGCTGGACATTGTTGTTTTTTATATGTTTTTTGTATGTTTTTTATATGTTTTTTTGTATGTTTTTACCACATGTCACAAATTAGCTTCGGCCCCCAAAAAATTGGTGTGACAGTCACACCAAATAGGTTCGATTCGTTGATGGCTGTGACCTGTGACGAACCTAGTGTCGTATCTCTACAGTACCTTAAAGGCTGCTTTTTCTAATTATTAGAAAGTGGGACCAGCGTGCAAACAAGTTCATGTGCGAAGTTCAAAAAAGTTGAATTAAAGTGTAATAAGCAAGGACCGTACAGAACAAGTCTAAAATGCGATTTCAAATGCGTGATGATCTGCGTATTTATTAACATAGAACTTGCGGAAAACATCATAAGTCTGATGGTGCTGATGTTGCGGAGGAATAAATTGAGTACCGTATATAGGAATAAAGGTGTGCGGCGCGGTAGATTGAGTCAATATGAATGATGGAAATATGGGGAGAGTTGTTCGCGTGATGAGCAGGCTGTACCATCCACATTCCGTTGTCTTCGTTGGGTGAATCTCCAATTGTATCGAACCACCGCACAACTGCGCATGGGTATAATTCAGCCTTGTATGTGAAAGAGAAAAAACTCAACACTCGCGCAACGTCCATACCCCTCATCCCGTCGAGATCCGGATTCGTGTTGACGAAGACACAATCATAACGAGGGTACTCATTTCTCCATATTGGACATGCGCGAACATACTCGCGACGCATGCCCCTGATACCACTTGGATCGCTCGGGGCAA